CCCCCAAAACCCCAAAACCCCAAAACCCCTTACAATAAAATATAAATAGAAATACTAAAATACCTAAAAAATGAATTCCTCAAAATATACAGCACGCGCAACTTCTACTATTACCACACCGCCTACCTACACCAAGTTCTCACCACTATAAACCCTAACTCCACTTACCTGCACAAAGAGTTCAGACCTCGGCTTCTGCCTAGCCACATCAGGCTTCAACTGGTACGTTTGGGAAAAGTTGTAGTAGGGGAGGGAGAGGTGGAGGTTTTGTTAGGGATTTGTTGGGTGGGTAGAGGAGGGGATGGGGATGGGGGATAGAGGGGTTGGGGAATGGGGAAGGGGGATGGGGGAAAGGAGGGGTGGGGGAAGGGAGGGGTGGAGATGAGTGATTTTTTAGACGAAATTTATGAGGAAGTCAAGTAGGGGAAAGAAGAAGGGGTTTAAGAGAAATAAGATGAAGATTGAGCGAAATAAGATGACGAAGAGAGTATTAAATGATTTGCAGAAGAAATCAATGGTTAAGAATTCTTGTTTCCATAATACGATGCGAGCGAGGATGCAAAGGAGAACTGGAAATAGGAAAAATATTCTTGATAATTTTAAGATCCAAAAGAAGCTTAGAAATGCATCGAAAAATAAGCATCCAAAACTTTTCAGCCCTTCAAGTGCTTCAAGGAATCTTAATGTAAGAGAAAATATTTAAATTTCAAATCCAAAAGAACGAAGAGAGGCTAAATAAAAAGACTTGTAAAAAGCTCCTGGTCTAGATTATTTGCTAATTATAATCAAGCTATATTCTATCGCTTCTCTCTAACTCTGTAAATATCCTTATGAAATTTCCTTCCTCGTTGCCTGAATTCTTGGCCTTTCGCTAAGATTCAACTAATATAACAGTAAGTTAATTTACCAATCAGTCCTTAGTTCTTCTGAAATGAATTTTAATTTTTATCATAACCCTTTTAATGAAAGTTTCAGAACTTAATTTGGTGGAAGTAAAAAATGAATAAGGAGTTGATTCTTATACATTTTCGATACCTACATATCCTAACCATCCTAATATTCCAAAAACCAACCTGGTTAAACTTGGTATAGCAAGGAGTACTAAGCCCTCGAACTTTCATGCCTCCAAAAATAGCACCTCCCCCTACTCTAGCCATCATTAGGCCTAAACGAAGCCCATGTGTGCCTACCCCCACTTCTCCAGTCACAAGTCCCAGATACGAAATCTTTACCAGCTCCAAACAAATAACCCCCCATTCTCGGTACCCAACCAGCCTAGACTCATTCAAATAACACAGTAAGTCCCCTTCAGAATCTAAATTATTCAAGAGAGAATTCTTAGCTGGGGCAGGCTTAATTATCGGCCGGATGTGTAGAATAATTAAGGCTGAATTAGTTGGAGATTCCTGGAGTAATGCTGCTTAGGGCTGGATTGTTAAGACTTTATTAGGGGGATTTAGGAGTGGAGGGATGGAGGTTTGGGGTGAAGGGAATGGGATTTTGGGGGGAGGAAATGGGAGTTGTGCGCTTGGGAGGGGAGAAGAGGGGGGTTTAGAGGAGGAATTGGGGTTTTGGGTGTTAGGGGTTTAGTGGGTGTTTGTAGAGGGGTGAGGAATGAGATTTGATATTTGGTGTTTGATAGTATATGAAGGTAATTTTTATGATGTTAAAATGAGTTTGAGCTGTTTCTAGAATTTTGAGAATAAGCATGCTTAATGCTCAGAATTTTTTTAAAGAACAAGTATAGCAACTTGCAAACTTTTTGTATAGTCTTCTCATCATTATAAGAATATATTGTGGATCATTGATAAACCCAACTTGATAACTCTGTTGCATCTTTAAAATAATATATTCTTGATAATCTGCTATTCCAGACAAGTATATCCCCAAACATTGCCAAAATAAACCCTCTCAACCTCTTCTATATCACAAAACTCACCAATTTTCCACAAAACTCCCTCATTCCTCACAATACCCCAAAATCCACAAAATTTTGAACCCTTACGCCTTCATTCTCCCAAATTTCCTCTACACTAAACTTTTCTTCCTCACTTCTTAAGACTCTTGATCCCGGTCTCCTCTTAACCAGCTCTCCTCAAACCCAACATGCTTCAGACTTCTTGCTGAGTAGCCTCAAGCCCTGGCCCTAGCACAGGGCTGGTAGCTCCCTTGGCTTAGTCACAAGTTGATTAATATCTTTGGTTTGTATAGAAGAAACCTGTTCGGATGGGAAGGAATTTTTATGTGGAGAATAAGGTTGCTGCTATGCCACCAAAGAAGCCGGGATTGAAGGGGACTACAAGGAAGTTATTTGAGTACCTTCATGATGTTTCAGAGACATCTGATCAATGTTCTTCGAAGAGGTAATTGACAATTTCAAAGAGTTGTGAAGGTTTTAGAGTCTTTAAGCTCTCTTTCTTTATACCAAAACTTTCTATTGTATTTTATCATATCTCTAGATTATAAGGACTCCTCATGTTAAAGATTCTCAGTTCTTCTATTCCAAAAATATTAGTGGGTAAGTAAAATTAGAGATTATATCTCTCCTTAAAGACTAGGTTCAGTCCGGGATGATTCAAACAATATTAAGGCAAATTATTTAACAAAAAAATTTCTAGAAATTTAAATCATAATTTGGCAAGAAACACTTCAAGACAGAGTTGTCACTCTCATAATTCCTCTTCAAAGGCACCTATGAAGAGTGGTTTCTGTAAACCAAGCCCTACAAGAGAGTCTTGAAAAAGTGTATCAGAAAGTTGAAGTGAAAAAGTCGACTTTTGTCTCAAAGATAGAAATCGTACAAAAAAGAAATTTGAAAACTTAATAGCCACAAGTTTATCACAAACAGGTTTAATAATGTAAACAAGATATACCTTTGATGAGATCCAATATCTTTTGCAAGACAGAAACCTCAAGATTAATAACCGAATTAACTCCAATATTGGGTTGTAGCACTATGTATTTTACTTAATCCGGATTAAAAGTAATAAATCTCAATAAATTCCTTTAACCCAGGGGTTTTGGGGTTTTGGGGTTTTGGGGG